CCCAGATATCTCCCCTGTGTTTTTCACATGTAAGTGCCTACAGGACATTTGTATGCAGGTGCCCTTAAACACATATGAAATTAGTCATTATTTTCATCTTCCCTGTCTTGCTCCCCACCAAGAAAAACATTATTTCTTATTTTAGCCACGTAATTACTTGACATACAAAATGGAAAATCATCCAGGGGCTTTTTGAAGGATTTAAATTCAGGGTGGGCTCCAGCAAAGCTCAAAGGACATGGGCTGAACTGAAGGCCCCATTCTACCCAAGGCATCCTGCACACTAATATTCTCGTCACTTCCCCTCAGTGGGGTTTACCTCATTACAGATTTTAGTCCTGATATCTGAGTCAAGAGTCAGCCCTACTCCTTTCTCCACCTGCAGAAAGAGTAGCCAGAAACCAGGTGGAGCCAGCATTTTTCCAGGCATACTTTCCCTTCCCTCCTACTTTTGAATGGGAAGCAACTATTGCCACCCCGTGGCACAGTAGAGGTACTGCAGCCCCCTTAACGCTGGCCAAGGGTTGGCTAAATGGAGGCTCCTCGAGACTTCCCCCAAGTAGGCAGTCTTACAAAGGACTCCATTCACTTGACACTTAATAAGAAAATAATATGGGTTCTCTTTATTTTGAAATTTTTTAAATTGGGAGTCCAAAAGTCAGTGTTATAAGTTTTAAAAAAATACTTTATGTTTGGAGTGTCAGTTTAAAATTATTTAGAAACATTAAATGCAGACCTTACATTCCAGTGGGATGGGAGACACCAAGCAAGTAAACAAGCATTAATTTTAAGCAGTGTGTGGGTGGAACACAAATAAAGCAGGCAGGAAGGCCTCTTTAAGTGGGTAACTTTGAAAACTCGGACCTAAGCAGGAGGATACAGCTACAGTTCTGCAGAGAGCGAGCAGCAGTCTCTGTGAAAGTCTTCAGGAAAAAGAAACAGGTGGTGCTGAGGGACAGAACACTGGTGCCACTGGGGACTGAGGTGAGGCCAAGCTGGAAGAGGATGGGCCAAGCCGGAGCTGTGGGTCCTTATAGGTGAGAGTGCAGCAGGAACCCACAGGGGTGACTAATCTGGTTTGAACTTTTATAGTTTCACTGTCCTTTTTTTTCTTTGTGAGAACAGCTGGACAAGTCCCAAGAGTAGAAGATGGAAGACTAGTGGAAGATAGCTTCAGAAATGCATGCCAAACCCAGCAGTATCTTGGACCAGCATAGTCAAATTAGAGCAAGAGAGAAAGTGCGAGGCAAATTGCAGGTGTATGTTAGAGATAGAAATAAAATAGTTTATAATTTGGGGATGACATGTGATGAAGAAAATTAAGGATTCCTCTAGGTTTTTAGCTTACGTCTACAGTAAGTAGTGGGACTACTTTTGTATATACAAAAAACTGATATAAAAGGGTTGGAAAAGGTAGTGGATAGAAGTACAGTAATTTAATGAAACATAGAGGCCTATGGATGTACAACAGAGTCATCAGCAATGAAACAGATTTAGAGTCAAGCCAATGGATGAGATCATCTAGGAAACGAGAATGAGAAAGTGGGCCCAACACTGATCCTTGGACAATGTAACACTTAAAGGCTGCAATAGAAGAGTGATAGAAATATGCAAATAAAATGAAAATGGCTGAATTTGTCCCCTGGTATTCATGGGTGACTGTTTCTAGGACCCCCACAGACACCAAAGTCTGAAGATGGTCAAGTCCTTTATATAGAACAGGTGGTATTTCTGTGTAATCTTCATGGGCCCTTCCATACACTTTAAATCATCTCTAGATTACTGTTAATACCAAATACATGATAATTCTATGTCAACAGCTGTGATATTTTACTGCTCAGGTAATAATGACAAGGAGGGAGCCTATACTTCTCCATTCTCAGTATAGGTACAATATTTTTCAGTTCCACAGATGTAGGACCCATGGGAACACAGAAAAGCAGCAAAGACAGGCATGGATCATCTTCACTTATCTTGACATCTTAACACCAGAGCTAAGCAAGAAAGGAGTTTTAAGAAGGCATTGGTCAATGCCAGGGATGTAGCTCAGTGATGTCGCACCTGCCTGGCAAGGGCAACTTGAGTTCAATTCTTGATACAACAATAGCAACAACAACAAAAAAGAAGGGAATGGTCAGATATGCAGAATGATGCTAAGATTTTGAGTACAGGTAGGCAGTATCAGTGAATTTAGGACAAAGATTGTTGGCTTTAAAATAAACACTCTAAAAGGCATCTTATAAGCAATACAGAAAAAACTGAACTTTCAACTTCCTCTGAAAACCTACTCCTTTTGTAAAACTGCTCCTCTTCCACATCCTCAGGCCAAACATTTTGCTTTCATCTTTAACTCTTCATTTTGCTCCTACCTCCAAACCACCAAACCACTATTAGGACTAATTACCTTCAAACCATGTCCATAATCAGACTGTCTCATCACACCTATAGCCATCAAGGTGGCACATCTCTGTCCCGAATCACTACAGTAGCCTCCTAACCAATCTCCTTGATTCTTCTCCTCTCTCCTCATCAGCAGATTCTGAATGCAATACTCAGAGTCACTCTATTGAAAGGTCAGCCGGCCATAACCCTTTGGTCAGAGGTGTTCACAACTTCAGATCCATATTCACAGGGAAAGTCCAAGCCCTCACAGGACAATGAGACTGTCTGAAGTCTGTTCCCACACACCCAGCCTCCTACGTCTCTTTCTTGGCTTTGAAGTATATTTCCATGTTGAGCCTCATAACCCGTGAGTGCTTGTAGGAGACAAGAGGGGCACTGACTCACAGCCAGCAAGAAAAAGGGGGCCTCAGCCCTACAGAATGAAGGGAACTGAACTGTTCTGGTTACTTTAAAATTTTAAGAGAAGACTCCCAAACTCCAGTTGAGAGTTTATCTCTGGTTAACGCCCAATTTCATCCTGGTAAGACAAAGTAGATGGTGAAAACTCCAGACCAGTGGAAATGATGAGGTAATAAATGGATGTTGAGTAAAGTGCTAAATATATGGTAATTTGTTATATGCAGTAGAAGAGAACTGAAATGCAAGACCATATTCACCGCTTACACAGACAAGGATCAAGAAGACCTTAAGTCTGCCATGAGAGCACTTTACCCTAAGGGCAATAATGGAAATAAACTCAAAGTTGTTCCTATCCATGCCGTTTTATATTTTCAAGCCTTTTCGGTGCCATTCCTTGAGGATTTCCTATGTGGATGTCAAAGCCCCAGTCCAGTGTGGCTTCTTTAAGGAAGCATTTCCTTGTGGCCATCCCATCCACTCCTGGCAGTATTCCCACTCTGCACTTCCATGAGTGTGACGTGTTTGTACACTTGCCAGGACGCATGCAGTAACTCTTTACATGCCTGTCCCCTACCACATGCAGACTGAGTATGCTCTAGGGCAAAGTGGTGGTCTCAGTCTCCCACAGAGTATGGGTGCCAAATAGGTGGCTTCTGAGCTACTAAAATGGGGGCCTGGATACACACAGGCCTTTGGTGTCCAGGGAAGGGCTGTTTCACTCCCAGCACAGCTGACCAAGCCTCAGGTATTCATGGAAACTCAAAGAGCCTTCTCTATGACAACAACTGGTGACTCACCAAGCGCTTCCTGCAGTAAAAGAGCAGATATTTACTCTCTCCAAAAAAACCCATTTGAAATGAGTAAGTGTGCTTGAAACAACAGGGGGCAGAAGCTGAGAAGAAATCTGATTCTCCCTCAAAAGGATGGCAGGAAGCCTTGTCTAATTTCTTCTGACTTGAGCCCTATGCGAGGTGTTCATGCTTGCTGATTTAAATTACTTGTGTTAATCCGCTCCCCAAATCAAATGCCAACCTAAATACACAATAGCCTCACTGAATTAGTTTTTCTCAGTGGTTTAAAACCAGGCAACAAAACAGAAGTGAGAATCATACATCCACAGTGTTCATGGCATTCACAGAACTCTAGGGCACACGGCATTTTTAGGAAACACAGACTCAACCATAATTATCCACAGTCAGTTCACAGGAAATAGTATTTTGGGGATGTTTTGAGAAAACTCAAAATTTACATCTTTCTGCAGAACCCATTCTTATGGGTAAAATTCTTTTTATATGTTCATCATTAGATAAGAAATAAATGAAAGCTTTCTGAAAAAAGTTTCACAATCCCACTGCCAGGAATTTAGGACCATAAAAGTTCAGGAGGGAAACTTTTTTTGCTACCTTAAAACTGTTATTTCTAACTTTTTATTCAAAAAATATTGTATTTTTAACTATTCAAGAAAGCATTTGACATAGTTAAACTCTTAATATCAGTACCTTTTTTGGCTCTCTCGGGTATGCTGGAGTCATCCTAGGAACCCAATCAGATCATGCAGAAACCTAACTGAGGGCCTTTTATAAGTACCGGCTGGCACTGGCTCAGAGAGGCAGGTATCTGAGGACACAGGTTCCGTAATTAGCAGCAGGGGTCAAATATGAAGCCCAGCTTCTAACCTTTCTTTAGGGCAACACTAAGATGCTCCTTAAATTATTCAACAAATATTACCTCAGCTCCTGCATCTTGGTCTTAGTCACTTTCTTACTCTGGGACACATTACCTGACACCCACAGTGTAAAGGAGGAGTTTATTTTGATTCACCTTTTCAGTCCATAGTTGGCTGGTGTGACCCCCCAGAGATGAGCCTCTACATTATATTTAGTTATAGCACCCCCATGACTCAATCACCTTCCTAAAGCCTCATCAGTGAGCGCGGGAGGCTCTGGGGGGAATCTAGATATAAGCCACAATGGTCTGTTATGTAACAGACTTTGTTCTAGGAGCTAAGGCTGCAGCTGTAAATCAGGCACACAAGATCACTGCTCTCACAGCGCTTCTCTTCTCGTGTGGGTGGATGACAAATGTATGTGCACACTGCACGTAAACAAGAAGGAAGAGAAAACAGAAAGTCTCAGGTGCCAATTGTGAGCATTTAAAATGCAAATGGAGATTTCATGCTGCCAGAACACAGTAAATACCTTCGATACTCTGTGGGCCCACAAGATTCATGGCCTGATGAGCTGGATATTCCACCCGTGGCCTGGCAATGCCCAACTGCTCCATGACACCGTGAAGCAGCCTCTGGATATCTGTTTCGGAGACGTGGTCAGGAGTTCGTGGGCTATAAGCGAGTGTTGGAGTCCATCCCAATGCCAGCCACAGTAGCAGGCCAGGAAGCATGGTAGAGACCACTCTGGAAACCATTTTTAACCTAGTGAAAAAGAGCAAACTTACACTTAATGACCACTGTTGGCAAGTGTGCTACACAACCGTGATAATGCATTCATGCAACTACCACAGGTTGTTATTTGAAGAGCTCCTGGTAGAGATAGCAATGAGAAATCCCTGGGTTTGCTTTCGTCTTACGCACCCATGTAAGGCAGGACCTCACAGTGGAAAGGTACAATGGAAAACAAACAGTCTGAGTGATGCAATTCTTTCCATACTCGAACTCTTGAGAGAAATCTAGGATTCTAGAATGGCAGTTCTCATTCATATGGTTTACATTTCTTAGCTTCCTGAGTCATTTGACCACTAACATCTCTGCTCTCTCCCTTGCTCACCAAAACAAATAAAAACTTCCTCCACTTCTGAGAGTGGGTCAAACTTTGAGTTTGTGCAGTGTCTCAGGAAAGAAAAGGCTAATAGGAAGTGGTTAGGAAGATACAAATACTCAAGACACAAACACTACAGAAAGCTTAGGTGTGTATGATGGCAGAGAGTGTTTTAATCTCACAACTAATGCCACAGAGATGCTGAGGAGAATGAAAGCACAGCTTGGGGCCTGTCCTAAGATCTAACAGGAACAGGCGAACACCTCAGCTCTTTCTTTGGCAAAAAAAGGAGAATACAAACATCTGGCTTACAGGGTTGTTGCGAGATAAGTGTGCAAATACACTTTAAAAAGCCTAGAACTGTGCCAGGACAGAGTGAGGTCCCTGGAGAGCCAGCTGGTAATACTGCCTTATTGCTCCAGAGGGTAGGATTTGGGAAGGCTGTAGGGGTGAGAGAGAAGACGGTGCAAGGGAAGGAAGGGGAACAAACCTCCGGGGTTCTGTGTATAGGGGGCTGTGGCTCTGCCTGCAAAACAAGGGGATCGCATTCATGCAGCTAACCTTGAGGCTGTTAACCTGCTCAGGACAGCTGCGAACCTTCAGGAAGCAGCCTAGCAAAGCTTCCTTTGGAACATTCTACTCAGGGATGGGAGATCAGAGCAGAATGAGGAGACAAAACTGCATCTCCCTGCCCCCCGAGACTGAAATATTCGCACCACTGCATCTCTTCTTCTTCAAAGAAAAAGCTCTTCCTAGCTGCTCCCAGATTAAAAACAACAACAAAAAACCAAAAAAACCTTGCTCCTCACAGAACTCGGAATAGCTCTTTGTTTCAACAGCAAAATCTGCAGTTGCGATGAACAGGCCAGAGGCAGGCAGCAGCCCCTCCACTCCATCTCATCTTTCCCTTGTCGGTGAAACCAAGGTTTCCTTTTCCCCCAGCTGACTCCGACCTGATGTGATCACCCAATCTCCTCCTCCGGACTCCAAACCCGTCAATCCCCCCTCATCCTTTGTCTGGCTCCAGCCTGGAGCTCAAGGACTTGGGCGGGACACCTCCCTGCCTCCTGAAGGACTCTATCCCCTCAGTGGGCCGCAGGGGGCCAACCCACAGCAAACAGTACTCACCAAAGGGCTGCAGGGAAGCCTGGTGCGGTCTGGGCCTTGCTTTGGGCACGCTGGGAGCTGGACAGCTCCTGCGTCCCCTCCCTCCCACCCGAGCCCCGCCCCGCCCCCGCCTCCAGCAGGTGGGAGCAGCCGCCTCCGCAGAGCACGCAGCGTCCCAGACGCGCTTGCGTCTGCCTAGGCTGGGGTCGCCCGGCGTCAGCCCACGCGTTCTCCGTGTAAACCTCTGGGAAAACTCTTGGGTACTCTTCTGTCCACTCCACCTCCTTTTGTCTCGAGCAGTTATCTAAATAGTGTGCCTTACTGCCTTCTGTGTCTCCTGCAACAGAATAGCTTGGCTTTTGTTTTTAAATCTTTAGTTTAAATTGTAAAGATGAAGTCCTAAGGATTTAGCGGTGGCGGCAAGGTGTACGTAGCCTTTTACTGGGAATATTTAACACCAGATGCTAGACTTTTGTTAAAATAACTTGCAAACCTTTAGGACTGTTAGCTCCGAGTGTCACCTTCTTCTGTTAAATTTATATTACAGTAACAAAAAGGTGCACATTTGTCCATAAAGCTGTTCATTTAAAAAAATATGGCCTTTGTCTCTTCCCTTACAAAAGCCTACACGCTATTCATTTTCTTAATAGGAGATATAGCTCTGCTCAATGATCCACCTCCGGGGGTTCGTTGATTTTTTAAAGTGAACATCAAAAAGACTAAGCAGGAGATGATGGACTTGCTTCTAAAAAGGCCCGTTTGAGGGCAGGATGCAAGAACTCAACTGCAGTGATTCGCAGCTTTATCTCAACCCAGAGGTCAAAAAAGGGTTCTTGGTATCAGCCTAGTTAACAGTACAGCAATCAACTTGTAAGCAACATCTGGAAAAGCGGCATGAAAGCTGGACAATTGAAGAGAAGGCAGAACTTGGTTGGAATGGAGGGTTTGATATTGAGGAAATTCAGGAAAGGGAGACTGGGAGTGGGGAGTGGAACTTGGGAATGGATACACAGGGTGGGATGGGGTGCTCTAGTTTTTATTTAGGGAAATTTGAAGCCTCCTGAGAACCCTTCATCGATGTCACTGAGGAAAGGAAGGAAATGGATTTCTTCCTGGTGGTTTCCATTTTTCTTCAACCTAGAATAGTGGATACTATGCATGTTTATAGACAAGTTTGGATTAGCCTGACAAAGCAACTTAACCCACTAATGCTAAGCACCTAGGAGAAAACACAGTTCGAAAGACTTGGCTTTTAGTCTGGCCTATGACACCAAGCAGTCCTGCAGAAATGGGCATTCTCCCTTTTGGCTCAGGAAGACCTGCAAAGTTCGCCTTCCAGAATCAACCCAAGGAAAGCAGGAGATGGCTCCCTGAACCCAGGAGGGCACCAGGAGATTCTGAGCGCTGCTTCTTCTTGGAGTTATTTCTAAACACTCACACCAACCATCAAGCAAGATTCCACTTTGGCTTGATGAGAAATCATACTCCCAGGTAGACCCACTTTTATTTGGACAGTGCTGGGGATAGAACCCAGGATCCTGTGGCTTCTCTAGTACAGAAAGAAATTTGTGAGCAGGTATGCTTTGAGTTCCTGGGTACAATCTTCAGCATTGGAA